TTTAAAAACCTTATCCCATAATACAGAGCACAAAGAAGGGAAAACTGAGACTGACTGTTGGTAAAAAGGTACTATTATCAACAGCTGATTCTGTGCATGATTATTTAGAGTCATAGAGTAATATAGCATGAAAACAGTCCCTTCAGCCCAAATTGGTCCCATGCCAACCATGGTGCCCATTCAGCTAGTTCCAATTGCCCACATTTGATCCATATCTCTCAATCCCATCCACAAGCCTATCCAAATGTTTTTTAAATGTTGCTATTGTACCTGCTTCAACCATGTTCTCTGGCAGCCCATTCCATTTATGTACCACTCTGTGTGAAGAAGTTGCCCTTCAGGTCCTTCTTAAATCTTTCCCCTCTCACCTTAAACCTATGCCCTCTAGTTTTCAATTACCCATCCCTGGGAAAAAGACTATGTGCATTCATCCTATCTATGCCCTTCATGATTTTATACACCTCAATAAGGTCACCCTCATTCTCCTATGTTCCAAGGAATAAAATCCCATCCTGGCCAACCTGTCGCTATAACTGAGGCCTACTAGTCCTGGCAACAATTTCATAAATCTTCTTTGCACACTTTCCAGTTTAACTGTGTGTTTCCTATAATAGGGTGACCAAAACTGTACACAATACTCCAAGTGCGGCCTCACAATGATTTATACAACTGGAACATAACATCCCAACTCCTATACTCAATGCCTCGACTGATGAAGGTCAGCATGCTAAATGCCTTCTTCGCCACCCTGTCCATCTGTGACACTGCTTTCAACAAACTATGTACTTGTACTCCTGGGTCCCTCTGTTCCACAATACTCCTCAGGATCTTACCATTTACTGTATAAATCCTACTTTGCTTTGACTTTACAAATTGCAACACCTCAGACTTATCTGTATTGAATTGCATTTGCCAATCCTCAGCCCACTTCCCCATCTGATCAAGATCCCTCTGTAATTTTTTAAACCTTCCTCGTCATCAATGATACCTCATAATTTTGTATCATTTGCAAACTTACTAATCATGCCTGTACATTCACGTCCAGATCATTTATGTAAATAAGAAATAACAAATGTTCAAGCACCAACCCCTGTGGCACACCACTAGCCACAGGCCACCAGTCTGAGAAACAACCTTCAACCATCACACTCTATGTGGAAACCATTGAGAATTGGTCGTGTCACTTGGTGACACGGACAAAGAAGGACACAAATATCACTGGGACAACACATCCATAATAGCACAAGCCAAACAGAGACATGCCAGGTAATTCCTGGAGGCCTGGCATTCCAACCGGAACTCTTATCAGCAAGCACGTTGAACTGGATCTGATATAGAAACCACTGAAAAACAGAACCGGAAGTAATGCCAGCTACCCCAGCAAACCGAGGCATATAAATAATAAGCAGGACAGAACACCAACGCTTCACTGGAGGCGCACTGACCATGTTTACCTAGCAGGGTGACAAAACATCTGCAATCAAACACACCAGATAGCAAGCAAGTCTGCAACCTCATCCACAACTCGAGCTACAGATCTTCTCAAAAATTTAAATGCTTTATGATCATATTTTAAGATTAATGATTCTTCTAGGTTGGATAGATTATAATCAGTTACAGAGTATTTTTTTCATTTAATCCATCAAATACAACATTGTTCAATTCTAACTGATTTAATTTGAATTCCAAAACATTGTACTCGAGATCAGCAAATATCAGTGGTAGTAATAGCATCATGGATTGTTAATGCAATTCCTTTGTGATTAAAAGTGCTATAGCAAAAATTGCTAAAAACTGTTTGGCAGGTCTGCAGTTTCTGTGAAGAGAGAAACTATGTTAACATTTTGAGTGGAATATGACTTTTCTTCTGAAGAGTTGAAGCATTAACTTTATTTTGTTTCTCCACAGATATTGGCAGGTTTGCTGAGTATTCCAGCACTTCCTGTTTGTGTTCAGGTTTCCAATGTCCCAAGTATCAGCCTTTTGCTTTGCTGTTTTTGTTTATAGCCCCCCAGTCTCCCCTAAACTTTGAAGTTGCTAATTATTGTTTCAGCACTGGGAAAAGCACAGGACAGATGGACTTTGTAAATGCACTGCAATTGGATAAAATTAATTTTAGTTTTGTTTAAAAAGAAATCAAAACTGTGGTATATTTGTCTTCATAATAGAAAACAAAATGATGTACAAGTGAGTTTGCCAAAAAGTTGTAGTTTTCATTCATTTTGCTGGAAATCAAAATAAATTCAGTTACTTCTGCAGGTGTTTCTGCCACAGGTGTGAAGCTATACAGAATCAGAAATTCTGTGCAATCATAACCAACTGAAAACCTGAGAGAAATATAAACTCTGTGGCCACAGTTTAAAATGTGTTCTGCCATGAAAAAGCAAGCCAGCTTGCAGTACATGAAATGCAACGTGACATTACCAGCTTTATGTGTACATTTCAATCAGTAGAATTTCTGATGATTGGAGAAAACAATGCATATACCTGGATTTAGATAAAGATATTACTTGCGTCTGCATGTACTTACATAAGTACAGGCACACACATGTTATCATACAGAACAGTAGGGGGTCCAAGTTTCAACCCTTACTTACTTCCAGTTAGCTATTGCCTATGCACTTGATCCCCTCTTGTTAGGAAAAGCGGAAATGAACCAGGGTTTCCATTCATTTTCACTGTTCAGATACTTCCAACAACAGAATCTTTGACAGGATGAAATCACAGGAGTATTACAAATCAAAATATGACACAGAGCCATATGAAACTGTTAGGACCAAAAGCTTTATCAAAGAGGATAATTTATGTGCTGTCTTAAAGGTGGAAAATAAGCTATGGAGGCAAAGAGCTTTAGATAGGAAAATACAGAGCTTTTAAAGGCAAGACCACCAGTGGTAGACCTATTAACTTTGGGCCATTTACGAAGTCAGGATTAGATGAGCACAGTTTTCTTTGAACATGGTGGCTCAGTAGTTAGCACTACTGCTTCAAAGTGCCAGGGACCCAGGTTTTATTCCAGCCTCAAGTGACTGTGTGGAGTTTGCACATGCTCCCGTATCTGCATGTGTTTCCTCCAGGCGCTCCGGTTTCCTCCCACAGTCAAAAGATGTACGGGTTAGGTGGTTTGGCCATGATAAATTGCCCATAGTGTCCATGTGTAGGTTAGGTGGACTAGCCATGAGGCTACGGGTGGGCCTGGGTGGAATGCTGTTCGGTGTGTCAGTGTGGACTTGATAGACTGAATGGCCACACTGAATGGATTCTATGATTGATAATGAAGTTTATGGACGGCTAAACGTGGGAAACCAGCCAGGACTGTATTCAAGTCCAGTCAATATTCAAGACACATATGAGGGTTTCAATGACAAATGAGCTGAGATAGGGTGAAATTAGGTGGTATATCAAAGTAACAATTCTGGGAATATATGGTTGGAAATTCATCTCTGGATCAAATATGATACCAAGAGTGAAAACCGTCTGGTTACTCTCGTAATTCTTCTCAAGATAGGGATGGAGTTGGTGGTGAGCAAGCAGAGTTTAGATCAAGCACTTAAAAAGACTTCAGTTTCCCAATGTTTATTTTGAGGAAAATCTGATCTCCAGCGCTGAATGTTAACAATGATGCAGGAATCCAGACATGTAGGATGGTATAGTGCTTATGTTATCAGTATACACATAAAAACTAATAGGATGTTTAATGAAGCATTATGTTTAATGATGACGGCAAGGTGAGAAATGGGAGGGGCCAAAATGAGAGCACTTCAGAGATGACAATCAGAAGAGAAACCAAAATACATGATACCTTGGCTATAATAAGATAATTAAGGATAGAATCAGTGAAGAGCCGTCCCACCCAGATGGCTGACAGTTGAGAGGTAGTAAAGTAGGATGGTGTGGTCAAACACACAGTCTGCTGACAGAAGGACAACAAAGGAATGGTTACCTTTGTCACAGTAGTCAGAATGCTATTTTTGACTTAGAGCTGTGTTCAGTAATGTGGTGGAGCAATCTGATTGGAGGGATCCAAGCACAGACTTTCAATAAAAATATTCTCCATAGATTTTGGAGGTGACAACATGTTCAAGGACTTTTACGAGGATAGGGAGGTTGGAGATATGGAGCAATTGCAAGGATTTTGAGGGGAGGGGTGATGAAGACAAATTTGAAGAAGAGAGGGACAACACCTCGAGGGAAAACTGTCAATGATAACAAATACGTGAGGATCAGGAGGGAGAGTTGGCTGGCCGACAGATTAATGGGAATAGGGTTGAGGGAACAGGAGGTAAGTGTCATGGAAAAAATGAAATGGAAGACGGTGTGTGGGAGATGAGAGAAAGTAGAGAAAGATGCAAGTAAAGGCGTAGGGCTAGAAGGAGCATTATAGGAAATATGACAAATGGGCTGATGAATTAACAAAAAGAAGGAATGTAACAAAGGGTCTTAATTAGATGGTCTCAATTTCAGTATCAAAGAAATTAATTAGCTCTTTGCATGTTCTGCTGGCTGTGGGTGAGGCAAACAGAAGGAAAGGGGTTTAAGATGTTGTTTGTAGTAGAGACAAGAAGCTGGGGATTATATTTGTATTCCAAGATAACCCAGGAGTAGTGTGTGGTTTCAACAGATTGGAGCTGAACTTGGTATTGTTTTAGGTGATCTAGCTGGTGCTGTAGGCTAAACTAGTTTTCCATCCTATCCCTTCAAATCTTCCATGGTGTCACATACATATGCAGAAATTGGGTTACCTTTCATTCTTGAATCAATTGAAGACATACAGTTTGGACACTTGTGCAACTTAATCTAGAGTTAATAGTATTGCTGTAATCAAAACCCAGTATAAAGGGCTGGATAAAAATCTGAAGCCAAAACAGAAATTGCTGGAAAATCTTAGCAGATCTGGCAGCAACTGTGGAGAGAAATCAGAGTTATGTATCGGATCCAGTAACCCTTGTTCAGAACTCAGTTTTCCACCAGTTTTTGATTTTGTGGTTGATACGTTCCAGGATATTGGATGAAGAATGAATTGAGAAAATAAAGAAGACTTGGAAGGCCCTCTCGCTCACTGGAGTCAAGCACACTGAAAGATGTACCTATACTGCTTTACAATAAAATTACATATCGATTAAGCTCAGTCTTTGTGCATCATGAAACTATTTATGGTGACTATAAAGTAATTTCCTGAAATACAGGGCTTGATCTTTCTTAACAAAATCCATTTTAAAATAGCATCTGCTATTTCTACCTGTCATTTGGTAGAGAACCTTATCAGTGCAATGATGGGATTCTTGTATTCTTGATGGAAATTTGCCACCTTTAGATATGAGCTGTATGAAAAGATGCATTCCAAATCTAAATTTGTTCTGTCAAACTACAATGTTTATCTTGCTTCGACCTTGAAGGAAGACTAGCAGAACAGCCTTTTCCATTGAGATGATACTGCTGTTTAAATTGGCAATTCTGTGCATCCAGTGTGCCACCAACCATATAATAAAGAAAACCCTGGTCCCACCATAATAAAAACAAAACCACACTTTTTCCAGGACAAGTATTTTTATGTTTACGTGGTGTTTGGTATTGTATTAACCATTAATGGAAATGTTTAAGTACATTAAAATTTGCAATGATTTTGCTAGAATGAATTTTACTGATAAAATGTAAAGAAAATAAGATCATAATTTAATCAGTAATGAGAAGCCTGGATTGCATTTCATTTACAAACATATCAATTATTGGGTGCCGCCAATGAGATATGCTGAAGAAGTTGAGAAACATTGGTTTAAATAATCAATAAATGGCTAATAATTTTAGAAATGCAGTACATTGAAAGCTAAGAAAAATCGTGAAAGGCAATGTTGTTTAGTTCATCACTTAAGACAATTATTCTTTATAAGTGTAAAAATGATTTTCAATCATATTTGCACAGTGTGCTTATTAAAGATATGGAGGAGGAGTGAATATAAAGTAAATGTGTTTATAAAGCCTCTTCTTGTCTGTTGGGATGTTGGCCATGACTGAACTCAATAACTTATCTCCCCATTACCACCTGCCTCTCTCTGTGAAAGCAGCAGTTTGAAGGTTCAGGGTGGGAAAGATCTGCAGAGACTAGGGAATGGCAGACCAAACCTCAGAGCTGTCCAAGAAGAGCAGCTCCGCTTTGTTAAAGTGGTGATGGCAAGCAAGACGGGTAGGCCTCTTGTTGGCAGCTGTCAAAAAAGAATGCTGTCAGGCAACAGCTGTGATGTAATCTGGAACAAGTGGGAACTCAAGAAGATGATCTGGAGCCTGGTGATTAAAGGCATCTTGGTGCAGATCTTGGACAACAACCTTGGGCATGAGCTCCAGACTTGGAGGATAGGCTGCAAGTCAGAGGGTCAGGTTTGGGAGAGCCTATATGTTAAAAGATTGGGCGTGGTGGGTGAACACAAGTTGAAGATTTAGAGAGCAGGAGAGGGGGCTCTAAACAGGTGCCAATCACATGGGAATCAATGTTCAAAATTATCTTGCTTAGTGAGATTACAGGCCCCATTAACTTACAAATGTTAAAGTGAAACCATGTTAAATGGAACATCTTATTGTATCAGTTAACTAGACTCATTGGCCAAGATCACTCCTGAGCTTTTTGAGTGAAATATTGAAGGAAGCCTAGTGAAGTAGCAATGAACCAATTTCTTCATTAAGAAAACTGTAAGAGGGAAGAAAACTGTAAAATTAGGTATAATAAATCTTTAAAGTGTGATTAATATTCCTGAGAGAAATAAAGTATGGTTCAAATCTAATTTAGCTTTATTTACAAATAGATCAATTTATCTAGTATTTTCATTTTAATGATCTGATTTTCCTCCTTCCACCATTACATGCTATTCATAATAGATTTCCTAACATTTCAATATATTGGACAAGAATAATCAATGAATTTATGATGTATGAAGTGATTCATAAGATAATTGCAGGCCATGTATACATGGGCCATATATGGACCATGTGTTCCATCTATTCAAAAAATGAGAGTTAATAAAAAGGGTGGAACACTATATTAATAGATTCAAAGAGGTATTTTGTCATCTGGAGGGACGATGCTAATTCAAAGGAATTTGATAATATTGTCTCTAACATTTTAGTGAAAGGATTAAGCTATCAGCTCATTTTGAAAACACAAAATGAAAGTAACCTGCTTCATAGCTGTCATCTTTACAGTCCAGAAACCTTTTGACGTTGCACTCCTCTGCACTCATGAAAAATGTAAAGAATAATATCAGGAAGCAAAAGACCTCAGCTGGAGTAAAGTCTGTTTTAAGGAAGCAGTAACATTGTGATCAAAGTTGCAAAATATTTCTGAAAAATTAATTCAACAAATATCTCTGAAGTTTATGCTAACATTTTAGTTTCCTTTGTTTAAAAATCTCTCCGTGTAAGTATTAATACTTTTCTTGTTTCATTGGAACACTGGGACCAGTGTTCTCAAAAAAGTTTGCTCTCTAGCACTCGGCATGCTGCAAAGCTACCTCTGAGAGCAGGTAATAGCAAAGTGCAGGGAAAAATTAAAAGGCACCATGTGAGGAAGTTTTTAATTGGTTAGTTGAACCTGGTAAAAATAATTTTTAACACATCTGAATGGACTTAATGTTTCAGGTCTGGTGAACTGGAGTTCTGAGGAAGAGTCACTGGATCCGAAACGTTAACTCTGATTTTCTCTTCACAGATGCTGCCAGACGTGCTGAGCTTTTCCAGCAACTTCAGTTTTTGTTCAATCAGGTATAAGTCAGGAAAGTTACATAATATTTTCCATTTGCCTGATTGGCTACAGCTGCAACAAAATTTGAGAGGTTCAACATTATCCAGAACATAGCAGTCCCTTTGATCACTCCCCAACCATTAACTTTGATATCTACTTCCTTCATCATCAGCATACCTTGTGTGCATTATGTATTACTTGCAAGCATTTACAGAAATACTTCCGAAACCGATGATATGTACCAACAAGTAGTGCAAGGACAACAGGTGCATTCAAACTCCGTTACATCCAACATCTCCAAGACGTACTCCATATTAACCAGATAAATATTGTATCATTATTGCTGGGCTAAAATGCTGGAACACCTCACTTACTCACCTTCAGATGGACCAATAAAGATCCAATAATGATTGTTTTGACAGCAATATCTATTTCCCAAGAATTAATTAAGGAAAGTGCTCACCATTCTTCTTAGAGCATTGTGGTTAAGGCTTGATGAAATTATTGTTAAGTATCCACTCATGGCAATATATTGAATGATAAACTTCAATGGAGAAATTCCTTTCCTTTGATGGATTGAACTCTGCATATTTTTCACCATAATTTGCATTGGTGGATAAGCTGGGAATTATTGCCCACTCTATTTTTTGTATTTCTTCAGGGGTAATGGGCGTCACTGACTGGGCACATACCTGATTGCCTTGAACATCTGGTGGTGAGCTGCCTTCTTGAACTACTGCAGTTGATATGGTGACCCATAGTGTCATTAGGGAAGAAATTCCATGATTTTGGCCAGTGATGGAACGGTGAGATATTTTCAGATCAAGATAGTGCATGGCTTGCAAGGGAACTTGCAGGGTGTTGTGTTCCCATACATCTACTGCCCTTGTCCTTCTGGATGGTAATGGTTGTGGGTTTGGAAGGTGCTCTCTAAAGCGCCTTGGAGGATTGCTGCAGCACATGTTGTGGATGATATACATTGCTGCCTCTGTGTATCGGTGGTGAAGGGAGTGAATATTTAAAGTGATGGATGGAGTGTAACTCAAGCAGGCTGCTTTGTCCCAGGCAGTGTCAAGCATCTTGAGTGTTGTAGGAGCTGCACTAATTCAGGTATGTGGGGAGTATTCGATCACAAGATTGTGATGAGGCTAAATTTCCATTACAATTTGCATGTTTTGGACACATAGATGGTAATGTTATCAAATAGAATAAGCAGCAAATCAAATTGCCGTATTCTCATGAACTGCTAACCAGGAACTACGACAAACTGAATTTAATTAATTGACTTTACTTCACTTAATTATTTAATTTATTTAATTTTGTTAGCATTTTTATAGAAAATGAAACAAATGACCAGGGCCCATTCCTTAAGGTTAAGGGCTCAAAGTATGAACTGAAATACTACATGCTTTTTGAAAATATTTTAAAAATGCCAGGATTTCTTTTATTGTAATAGAAGAATTTGATATTCCAAAAACACAAAAGCTGTTCTTCGGGGACAATGGAATTGCTCGAGTAATTGTGAACTTAGCACAACATTAAAACCTGGTCTCATATTATTCAACAAAATGCGACTTGTAAAAGTACTGTAACATTGATGCTAGTAGGGTAGAAGGGCAAGTTTTCATCAGTGATTTCTACATCATTGCCTCACAGGAGACTTCAAATGTGTGGCCATTTTTTATTCACTCATTGGAGCTGATAGGTCCAGCATTTATTACCCATCCCTCATTGCCCTTGAGAAGATGTTGGTGCTTCCTTGAACTACTGCAATCCATTTGCTGTAGCTGCGCCACAATGCTGTTATGGAGGCAGTTCCAGGATTTTGACCCAGTGTACTTTTTCAAATCAGAATAGTGAGGGGTGTGGAGAGAATCCTGTGAGTAGTGCTGTTCCCATGTATATGCTGCTTTCATCCTTCTAGATGGCAGTGGTCGTGGGTCTGGAAGGTGTTGGCTAAGTAGACTGGTGAATTTCTGCAATGCATCTTACAGAAGGTACGCACTGCCAATTCTGACTATTTGTGGTGAAGGGAGTGGATGTTTGTGGATGTGGTGTCAATCAAGTGGTTTGCTTTGCCAATGGTATATCAAGCACCTTGAGCGTTTTTGGAGCTGTTTCCCCAATGAGCATTGAATCACTGGTAGTAGCTTCTAGATTTTAATGTTTATCTGCTCGTGTTGACTCCCCAAAGTTGTTGTGAGTTCAAAGGAATAATGACAGTGAATACTAAGGATGGAATTTCTTTAATTGTTCAGGGCTGGGGGTATGGTGGGAAGGAGACAGAAGTGGTTTGTTTTTGTGTTAGCATTTCAATTCCTCCTCCCCCTCATCCTTCACCGCCCCAATCTCATTGGCCAAGTTGAGGC